GGTAGAATCTATGCAAAAGCTCCCCCTTCTTTCTCCAGCTTGACCACCCTGCAGGGATCAGACACGTGGGCGGTGACATGGGCCAGACGTCAAGAACTGGGATCCAGAGTCAGGAGACTTGAATTCAGCTCTGACACCTCTTCAAAAGAGGTTCTTAATCTCTCTGAGCCTCAATTTCCCTTCTAAATAGGAGTAAGACTGGAAATTAGATGGTATAGCAGTGAGGATAAAATAAGGGAACATTTATTTAATAAATGCTACACTCCACGTACTATGACCCAAGACTTGTTCTAAGCTCTTTAAACAAGGCATGGAGAACTGGAGGGGTGTGTCTGAGATGGCAGGCATCTAGAAAGGAGCAGAGTCAGGATTCCGGCGACAGTCTGTGTGTCCAGAAGCCACATGCTTAACCCCTTTTTCGTTAAGGACAGGAGACTTGTCCCTTGGTGGCTTCTCCTTAGACTCTGCTTTTAGTAACTTCGATGGGGCTAGAAACTTCCCCTTCCCTTTACTGGTTAGTTGATTTGTTCCCGTGTGTGACGGGGTAATTTATAATCCCCCCTCTCAGTTCCCCCAACCCCTAAGCCAGAGTTGAGCAGTGCTTCGAGGTGGCACTCAGACCACCATCAGCTAAGCATGGGATTGGGTTTTGAGCCTGTGGTGTGTGTGTCCTTACATATGCACAGGATGACCCAAGGACCTTGCGTTTCTGGCAATTTAGTACTGTGTGATTTAGCCATTCTGTAACATAAAATTTGCCATTTTAATCATTGCTGAGTGTACAGTTCAGTAACATTATGTGCTTTCACGTTTCTTTGCAGCCACCACCACCATCCACCTCCAGAACTTTTTTATCTTCCCAAACAGAAACTCTGAATCCGTTAAATAGTACCCCCCCCCTTCTTCCTTTCCCCAGCCCCTTGGGAAAGTCACATGCCTTCACCCAAAAGGCTCTGACACAACCTTCATCAGGAGTTCTGGCTCGTCATAGGCTTGCTTCCACAGACACATGAAGGCGGAAATGACAAGTGAGCTCTCAGTTTTCATGAGGCAAAATAAAATTTTGCATTATAACTTTTCCCATTTTGACTCACAAAAATGATAGACCATGCCAGTTAAGGAGACTTAACTCCTTGGCCATGTTGGAAGCAGATCTCTTTGTACTTGGAAGAACCCATGGAAAGAAGTCCTTGATCCAGGAAATAGAAAAAGAGCAGAGGACAGGATGATATGAATACTTGGACATAATTTATGTAAAAGTTCCTATAGGTGCTTAAATATACATATTCAAGTATACATAAATATTATATTCTGGAAGAATACAAAAAGAATTAACACTGGGTGTCTTTGGGGGGACTGATATTTGGAGGCTGGGGAGGCTTGAAATATTTTGCACTTCCCCAGAGGACATGACCTTAGGGGAAAGCAGAATGACTGACGGTGAGGGAAGGAAGGCAGGAAAGGTGGCTCCCAATAAAATCATCCATCTTCCATCTGATCCTGGGGAAGATGTGGGGATCTGGAGCATGAGGCTGACCTGGCCTGAAACAGGGAGTTGGGCTTTCCTCCCTCTCCCTTCTCAGCTAAAGTGAAGGGCACCTGTTCATGAGAGTGAGGAGCAGAGCAGTGATCTCAGGCAGGGGGTGGCGAGCAGTCACTCCTGTCAACAGGCCAGGCCCCTGGGACAGGGTCGGGGAACTGGGTAGGTGTTAGCAGCAAGACCTGCTTGGAGGCCACTGGGCTGATAAAAGGAATCCTCAGGGAATCTGGGATGCAATCCCTTTCCCCAGTGACTTGGGAATTGAACCAAAACTAGCCATTTTGCAGTCGTGGGACAGTCATCATAAGGCTGGGGAGAGGCTGTGTGCAGCTCAGAGCTGCTCGGGATGGAGGAGTATTCCGGTGAAGGTCGAAGGGGAGGCTGTCTTTGTTTGTTTTCTAAACTTTATAGATAGTGTATATCTTATCACTGATCTCGTCTCCCTTTTTGCTTTTTCTGCTTTGGTTGTGGAGAAAATTCAAATCCAGGACTAACTAACCCATGAAATAAGGCCAAGGTAAGGCAGGAATTGACTTAGGAAGGTGCCTGGTAAGGCCTAAAGTTTCATGGGCCACCCTGGCATCTTTGAGTTTCACAAGGGCCCAAAGACCTAAGCATGAGCTCCCCAGCACTGTCCCTGACCCAGTGGGAAAGGGCTCCGCCTGACTGGTTTCACAGTCAGCTAGGCTGGCTGCCCTCATTCAGTCAACAGTCTAACAATGGGTTCCACCTGCCTGCCAGTTTGTAAAGTTATGTGAACGAGCCAATCACACACTCCCAAGGAGACGTCTTGTGGTTACTACAAAATGTGACCCTCCCTGGTGATTCACTGGGTTCCTGAGTGCGACCCCCAGGTGGCCCAACATAGTCTAGCTGTGTCCTTCTGCCCTGGGGCTGTGCGTCTATGTGAATAATAAGCTGCTATTGATATCTTCTCTCCAGGGTAAGGGATTGTGTGTTCTGCCATCTCATACCATTTAGGGCAGGGAACCCCCCCTCACTAATGGGTGATTAGGTGATCAGAAAAGGGATATTTGAATCACCAGGTTTTTTAGGAGTCCAATTAGAGCATGTTGTGTGTATAAGCCTTAATTCCAGCAGAGCCCATGCTGCTTTCGAAGCACAGCTTTATTTCTGAATAATGCAGTAAGTTTAATTTTTTAAAAGAATTATATATATATATATAATTCTTAAAAAATTAAAATTAAAATAAATGAATTATTTTATTTATTTATTTTATATGTGGTGCTGATACTCAAACCCAGTGCCTCACACATGCTAGTCAAGCGCTCTACCACTGAGCTAAAAACTCAGCCCAGTAAGTTTAAATTTTAAAACCTGAAGGATGTAACAAAGGAAGTATTCAGTCAAAAACAAACAAACAAAATGTACTTGAAAAAATGTCCCCCTCCTATTTTACTTCTGCTCACAATGACATAATATGGCCTCCCAAGATATCTCATACAACTTGCTGACCTGAAGAGTGAACTCTTAAAATTTGATCTCTATAAAATAGATTTATTTTGTTCTTAGTTCTATATTCATATAAAAAGAAAATACCACTAGAATCACTAGGCAGGATTTTCTGTTCATTCAATTTTCTAGAATCTCTACTGCAGATCACCCACCCACCCGAAGATGATGAGTTTGATGGAGAAAATTTGCCTCCACCAGGCTCTGATGGTTGCCAGTGTCTGTGTGCATCAGCTGTAGCCTCTGGAATCCCACTGGAAGCAAGAACAAGCAAAGCATCCCATAGACTGGAGGATTCTCTTCCCCAGGGATTATTCAAGGAAGGCGTGGGAACAGCGTGTACAAACTTGGTTTTATCAACCCTGAAGAATGGCCATGAGGAAATGCAGCACAAGATTCAGGCAGGCAAAAATGAATGCCATGGACCATTTTGCTTCTTCTTCTTGTATGAAAATAGAGGGAGACAGTGTGAAGTACTGGAATTAAGATCATATTATCCTCCTGGTTGGAACTGAGATGGCCTGGCCTGCGTCAGTTCACGCCTCATCTGAGGTCTGAGGGCATATGTGGTTCTCTGGCTGGCTGAATCGTAATCGGTGAGCCCCACATATCAGAATGCCAGGGGGCTCTGACTGTGCATTTGAAGCAAACTCTTGGGTAGTTTTGAGGGTTTGCTGAGGTTTGAGAACCACTGGTGTGGCTGCTTGTAGTGATATGGTCCCATTTTTACTGATTTCAACTATCATTTCTATCAAGCCAGGCAAAGAATATTGACTTCAATATACAGTTTATCTTTTGCTGAAAAGATACAGTTTATCTTTTCTCAGACAGGAACAACTGATTATCCCTCCCTTGAGTTTTCATAGCTTCCAAAAGTTTGGGTTCCTTTGTTCATTTTCCTGGAATATCTCTGCCTTACCATGTTCCCACTGAGGAGGGATGATGGCCGTCTCTTTGGGTCAGTCTTGGGTAGACACTTTATTCTGCAGGTACACACAGCCCACTCAACACGTACTTTGGGCCATACTAGCAATTACAACCATGAGCTTCTTGTGCTCATCTATCAAAATTTTCCCCCAGGCAAGGGAAATGATTCTACCAGGTAGCTCATCACTTTCTAGTAGTCCAAATGTCAGCTCTAGATTAATCCAGACCTTCCAAAAAAAAAAAAAAAAAACCAAAAAACACAATTATAGACCATTTTTTTTCCTGGGCCCTGGAAATTCTTTCTTGAACTCTGTCTCATTATACTATAACAGGCTGCAGATGTCACCCCCTGAGTTGATACATGTGAACATTCTCTCATACTTAGCCTGTATTTCTTTTCTTTTTCTTTTAATTTTTTTTTTTTTTTTTAGTACCTGGGATTAAATCCAGGGGCGCTTAGTCACAGAGCCACATCCGCAGCCCTTTTTAATATTTTATTTAGAGATAAGGTCTCGCTGAGTTGCTTAGGGCCTCACTGAGGTTGACTTGGAGCTTATGATCCTCCTGCCTCAGCCTCTCTAGCTGCTGGGATTACAGGAGTGAGCCACTGCGCCCAGTTTAGCCTGTATTTCTCCAGAGGTGGTGCTTTTTACTCCAGGAAAAAAGGTGCAATTTATAGGGAATCATCAAATCATCCTTCTGCTTTGGTTGCCAGGAAATTCAAAGCCAAAAATTTGGTCCAGGTTTTAATAATGATTTAGGATCTCTGATAGATGTTCTCCATAGCAAGGGAGGGAGTATACAATAGAATGAGCACACTTTTTCCTCTACTACTCCCTCTGGGGCAAGAGACAAGTGTGTGGGTGTGGAAAACAAAAAAAGATCGAGAACCTCTGCTTCCTAACCATCACAGAATTTCTTATAGTTCTGATTTTAACTATATGGTTTCCTTTTAATTTTTTATATCAAACGTAGTATTTAAAGACTTCAAGTTTGTTGTGAAAAATAAAAAGGTGTAGAAAAAGAAAAACTCTTTTACCAAGACACCAGTTTTCCACTTTTTTTAAACTTTATTTTATTTACTTATTCTTTTTTTTTAATGTGGTGCTGAGGATCGAACCTGGGGCTCTCACATGCTAGGCGAGCGCTTTACCGCTGAGCCACAATCCCAGCCCCCAGTTTTCCACTTTAACGGGTGTATTTGATAAAGCATTTATATCAATATAAAGACTCTGCAATACTCCAGGAGTATCCAGGTCTACCAGAAACTGGGAATGTCCAACATTTGAAACAGGGCACTACTCATGGAACCAAAACAGTAGCCCATATCTGCCATCTGCAAACAAATATTCATTCATTCATTCATTCATGGTCTTGTGGTGTTGCCCAGGTTGTCCTTGAACTTGTGATCCTCCTGCCTCAGCCTCCCAGGTGTCTCTCTCTGTGCCCAATCAACAGCCATTTTTATAGCTATGATTTTCCACAATCTCTTTGCATCTTTGTCAAACTCCAGTGGCAGCAGCCTCAGAAGCATTCACGAGGGAGTAGCTTGGGGCTCCAGAGGCTCAGGTCTTTGATGTTCATAGATTAGGGCGAGTCAGTGGTGGCCTCTCCTCTGGATGAAGGGGTCAACTGTGCATCCTGTCCTTCCATACCCTTCTTCTGGGCAGACTCCATGTGAGTCATGCACAAGGCCCAGCAGAATGTCTTAGCTTCACAGAAAGGCAAGGGCAGTGCTGGGATATGAGTGGGAGAAATTCTACTTGCTTGGCCCTCAGTATTCAGGAGACACCACCAGGATGGGTCAATCACAGTCCAGTCATTTCCTCCCTCTATCCGTGACCCAGAGGGGTGTGAATTCCACCTCAATACTCTCTTGAAACCTCAGAGTCATTTCCAACATAAGCAAACATAAGCAAGCTTCTAACTGAAGCAAACAGGAGAGAACAAAAAAAAAAAATGAGTACCAAATTGGCTTTTTTTAAAATTGTCTATGTGGCCTTGGCTTATTATTTTAAGATGGAACCTGAATATTCTTTAAAAGTTTCTGCACAGGAATTAGCATCAGGGACATGAAGGAAAGTACTGGTGGATGTGTGGCCTGGATTGAGCTTTGATATGGGTTCTGTTGGCTTTCAGCTTTGTTTGTGTCCAAACATTGGCTAAGTGACTGGGAGTGGCTGAGACCCCCTGGTAGTGGGGCATGGAACACCTACCTGCCCTGTGTCTGAGCCCAGAGTCTGTCTCAGCCCTCGACTTGAGACACAATAAGGACGGAATCAGGTCTGCATCTGTACAGATGATGCAGGATCTGCAAGCTGCACACCTTACTGTCCTCAGTAGCTCACGGGAAAACAGTAACTGCCCTGAGGGATGGGGCAGAATAAGGACTGTTCTCCTTTTTCCCAGCAGAGGGCGCACTATGCACCTTCTCGCCTGGGAGAAATGTGGATCAAAGGTGACTCCAGGGGACAGATCCTTGGAGAGTCCTTCCAAACTCAAATGGGAAGCTTCCTTGGCACTCACAGTCTCTTTTCTCTTAAAGCCATGGAGAAGAGTGTGCCTCTTGGTTTGAGCTCACACTTCTGAGACAGGCTGGTGCCTTACATTGATGGCTACTGGGGCTTGGTTTGATTATAAAGCAGCCCCCACCTGCCGTTCCCGACACACACAGACACACCAAAAAAGAAAGAAAAAAGAAAGCAGCTTGGCACCACAGAGAGATAAACTGAGATACAAGCACAGTTAAGCAGTTGCTGTGCTCTGTCTGGGTGCTTTCCCTAATAACACCCACGACAGTGTCTTCATTGAAAATTCTCAAGTAAGCCAAGTGCTGTGGTATATAGGCCTGCAGTCCCAAGGACTCAGGAGGTTGAGGCAGGAGGATCACAAGTCTGAGGTCAGCTCAGGTGACGGGTGACTTTGTAAGATCCTGTCTTGAAATAAAAAATGAAAAGCTCAATGGTAAAATAAAACACCCCCACGTTCATCCCTAGAACCCGAAAATAAATAAAGAAAAAAGAAAATTTGAAAGAGTGCCTTCCACAGGAGAAACTACCCACTTGCTAATCTGGTACCGAGGCTCCCAGGAACTTCATGTTACAAGGACAGCAGCAAGATGGGATGCTAGGGGTTGCTGTTTGGTATCATTCTAGACTTCCAGATGATTAAATTAGAAAAAGCTTCCCAAGCTGACTCTGTCATTAAACAGAAGAACGGCTGTGAAATAAACTCAGAAACCCAAAGCACCTGCACTAATGGCACCTTAATTCATGTAACCTGGCCAGATTTTGTGGGTTTTTTTTTTTTTTTGGTACCAGGGATTGAACTCAGGGGCACTCAGCCACTGAGCCCTTTTCATATTTTATTTAGAATCAGGGTCTCGCTGAATTGCTTAGGGCCTCCCTAAGTTGCTAAGGCTGCTTTGAACTTGCAATCCTCCTGCCTCAGCCTCCTGAACCACTGGGATTACAGGTGCACGCCACCATGCTCAGCTGCAAGACCAGTTTACGACATGGAACTGTCCACAAAGCACACAGATTACCAGGAATAGAAATGGACTCCATGCCGAGCACAGAACATACAGTAGCAGCATCCAGAAATGAAGATGAGAGGGACACTGCTCACTGCAAGGTCCCCTGGCAGACCAGCCAGAGCCCCTCTGTGGAATCTATTCCTTGAACTTGCAGATTGTATAACTGCCCTTAGGATGTCCTCAGTTATCAGATCAAACCTTTTGATCTGGGGTTGGGGATATCCTGACTTCTTAACTATCACAAAAGGCAGTTGGAGTTATTAATGGGCATCTTTCCTACCACTCTGCAGTGCTGGTGGCTGAATGAGCTCAGCAGTAGCAACAGTAACAACAGCAAACCTTGCCACAGGGCTTGGAATTGCCCTGTGATTGAAAAAGATCACCCTTCCTTAGCACTCCTCATCTCCTCCCCTCCAAAGAAACATCCTTTGAAAACTCATGAGTACAAATTCTCACCCAAAGAAGAGTCAAAATACTTTCCCCACATCCAGGCAGGCAAGATTCTCTTTAGTCTGGTAGACTCCTTCAGTGCATTTTTGTTAGTTTCTGAAATGCCCGTGTGGAAGGTTCTATTGACTCACTAGCATGCTTTTCTCCCCAAATTGTGCATGTGTGTCTATGTGTGCACACGCTGGGAGGAGTGGCTGTCAGTCTTCATCACCAGCAAATCTCCACCTGGAACACACATAGACACAACCGCTGCACAGGACCAGTAAGATCAGCACAGTGTGACTGAGCACCAGGACCCCTACTGCAAAGAGGTACAGGGTTTTGTCACAGTATGCCTGGGGCTGCTGGAAAGGGGGAATAAAGTCAGGCAGGTACACAGAGAAGACCCAGTAATTCCCCAGAATAAACCAGAGGAAGAGGAAGAGGCTGAGGATGAGATGGATGTAGTATTTGTGCGCGTTCTGTCTCCAGGGATACTCATCGTCATCGTCGTCATCAATCACCAGAGCCTTAGACAGAAGCCGCCTCATCCTGGTGGAGTCATACAGCAAGAGAGACACCTGGATGGCGGGAGGGGTGAGCGTCATAGGGGAGGGTGGAAAAGTTGTGGGGAACAGAGGGAGTAGAAGGGGGGAAGATGGGGAGAGAGACAGAGAGAGAGGTTATGAAAAGTACATATACTGGAGTTGGAAGATCTGCCAAAGAAGGACATTCCATTTGAAGAATTAGAATTAGAACTTGCATGAATGAAGACATCAATCCATAGTCAGCAAGCTTGCTGGCGTCTTCCTCCTGGATGCAGGAGCCGGTTTGGGTATGGGATTAGTTGGCATAAACTTACTCTATAGTGAGGCTTGGATGGACTGGCCTTTCTAGTTTTCTAGCGCATTTGCATGACACCTAACAGTACAGGAATGATACCTGTTGGATGCTAACGTACCTCCCAGCCAGGCCCTCTGTCTTAGGAGGAACTATTCCCCTGTCACTTGCAGGCCACATCACAGGCCTGGCGGCCCAAGCATCACTAGTCCCTTCCTGTCCTCCCCCTACCCACCCAAACTGCTTTTCTTTGGGCTGTTTCCACCCTTCTCTGTCCCCAGGATCTGCATCTTGAGTGGGGCCATGGAGTGAGAGCATTGTCCCGCTGTCCTCACATATCCCTCAAGTCAAGAGCACACACCTTCTCCTTTGAGCAATACTCTGGGGGGACAAAGACCATCTTTTCCCCCGGCAGATGGCCCCTGCCTGACTCCAGTCTGACACCCCTTAGAAAGTCAGTTTCCACTTGATTACACAAAGAATCCCCAACTTGCTACCAACCTGACTGGCCCCCCCATGTCTCAGTGTCCCCTTGGAAACACAGCCAGGGAAGAACATAGCCTTCTTTGCTGGGGAGACCTTTGGCCATTCCCCGGCTTCCCTGTGATTTCCTCTGAAAACTGAATCTGCTTATCTGTTGTATCCCAGCTCCCCACCTCCCCTATGGCCAACCTCAGTGCACCCCTAACCCAAGGACAGCAGGGCTGAGAGGGAATCCTCTGATGGCCAAGAGCATGCAGGTTGGTGAGGGGAGAAACTCAGAGCCCGAGTGAAATGGATGGGTAGGGACGAGTCAAGAAATGTCACCAATGGGATCCAAACTGGGGAAGTGATGGGGACAATGATATCAAGAGGGCTGGGGAGCAGAGGAGCCCGAGCTGTGCATTTGAGGAGTGTGACAACCTTGGGTTTGGACTTGCTCCATTTAAAATTCTGGATGGACGTGCAGGTGATGGTGGTCAGCAGGGGGTGGTCAGAGGCTGGTGGTGAACAGAGACAGTTGAGGGCTGTGACTGAGATATGGGAATTATCTTTGTGCTGGTGACAGTGACTCTGGAAATGGACATTGCACAAAAGGACACCCTGGTGCTGGGTGAGGTGCTTCGTGTACAGTACCTCATTTAATTCTCTCAGGGTCATAGGGGAGGGTGCCAAATAAATTTGTGCACAGAAGGACCAAAAGGCTACAGAGTCAACAGTGATGTTTGTTTGCTGTGTGGTGTAATTTACAGGTGATTTTGATGTTCTCCTTGGTACTTATCTGTATTCTGTTGTTTTTCGACAGTAGAGAGCTATTATTTATGAAAAAAATAGCAAAACTTAATTAGTTAGTCCAAAACTTGGCACTTATGACTGACTGCATTTAATACCTATACTAACCTATGAGCTATATATGACTAACTCTGCTTCCTGGTCGAGGACACTAAGGCTCAGAGAAGTTAAGTCACTCTACTCAGTCCACAGTGAGTGCAAGAATGAGATGGAGCCAGTCTGGTGGCACATGCCCGTAATCCCAGTGACTCCAGAGTTTGAGGCAAGAGGACTGCAAGTTCGAAGCCAGCCTCAGCAACTTGGCAAGACCCTCAGCAAACAATGAAATCCTGTTTCAAAAATAAAAAAGTAAGAGGACTGGGGATGTAGTTCTTTGGTAAGGAGCATCTGGGCTCAATACCCTGTACCAAAAAAAAAAAAAAAAAAAAGAGATGGCCATTAGCCCACACTTGCCGACCACTATATGTACCATACCACGTGGTACTGGAATCAGAGTGGTTCTCTCCTATGTCAGGAGAGGCCTCCCATTTGGTAGTCCTGTTCCAGCTCTCTAGGAACAAGACCTGCAGCTTGGCTGGGAGGCAAGATGTTTCTCTAAGAAGAGCAGTGGGACACTTCAAGGAGTCCGGCATGGAGCTGGCTCATCCAGGAGGGCTTCCTGGAAAAGGGGGCATACTCAGAAACCCTCAAGAGAGGAGAGGAGGGAGGACCTCCTGGGAGGGAGAGTGGCATGGCAAAGACAAAGGGAGATGAGAAAGCCCCTCGACTGGAGCAGAGGCCTCGGTGAACACCACCTTTCTTTTCCTCTGGACATTCTAGAACACTGCCCAGCAGACTGCCGTGAGCATCACCTCATTCTTTGGGCAAATCCCCTACCCATCCTAGGTCTAGAGAGGATAAATTGTGCTACCTGCCCTCCGGGAGGTCTGTTCCCTTGCTCTTGGCACACAGCGAGCCACAGGACACCCAAGGTCCTTGGTTCAGGCTGTCCTCTTCAAACTGGTTCTTGGGCCCAGTGACGCCATGAGAGGGGAACTAGGTGGGGCTCATGCATTCTGCCACTGACACCAGGAAGCTACAGTAAGGGGACCTGCCCCAGGCTTTCTGGCGCCAAACTTGTCCCTTGCTTCTCCACCAACATTTTGAGTTGTGAGTTCTTCCAATAAACTATCTCTTAAGTTAGAGTTGTTTTCTTTTTCTGTTATTGGTGTTCATTGTACTCAAAAGAATCCTTCCTGATGCCAGTTCCTGCCTCATGGGGGCGCTATGAGGACGGAATGAGTCCCAAATGGGGGCACAGATGTCAGCACAGCACCTGCAAAAGGCAACTTGCTCATCGTGGCACAAGGAAGAGGGACACTGGAGGTGAGGTGGAGTGTTGGGTAGATAATGGCCACCAGATCAACGTGGGTTTTTTTTTTTTTTTTTTTTTTTTTTAGTTGTAGTTGAACACAATACCCTTATTTTTTTTATTTATTTATTTTTTTAATGTGGTGCTGAGGATGGAACCCAGGGCCTCGCACATGCTAGCCGAGCGCTCTACCACTGAGCCACAACCCCAGCCCCGGATCACTGTTTTTGAAACTTTCTTTTAACATGATCCAAAGCAACAAATATATTTTACACCATGACCCAGAAATTGGGTAACTTGAAGTCCTTGGGAACCCAGAGAAGTCCTAGTCTGTGCTGTTATCCTGGCATGATGATTATTAGAGTCCCCTTGTCCTCTCAAAATTATTTCCGTTTGGATGACAAATGATATGGTCAATTCACCCAAACAGGCAGGTGTCCATATATAGTATCACACAATACTTATTAGGCACTCTCATATTTTCTGTTTTATTTTATTTTTAAATCAGACCACAACCTGCTAAATGCATTTTGTGACCTAGTAGGTCATGACCGTCAGCTCTTTTTGGTAACTCCGGGAAATGCCACCTCATTTCTCAGATTTCTCTTTGAATGTGATACCTTGATGCTATGTGGTGCATTTCACTAAAGATGCTGGGCTGGGCAAACTGTGTTGGGGGGCGGGTGTTAAATACAAAGCATTATCATCACAAGTAAACTTGGGCCTCTGGGGGCACCATAAACCTGTTTGCTGCTGCTCTATTGTTATGGACTCACTGTATATTACCTCACCATGTTGAGCACCAAAATTTAATTTGGCTTCAAGCAGTTTTAGATTGCCAGGAAAAAAAAATCGATGCTGTTTATTAGAGCCCTGGTATGTTCATTAAAATAAATTACCTTTGGGTTCTGAGCTGGCTTTTGTAAAGGAAAAGCTGGCTGTTATTAGGAGGCTGACTCTGTGGACAGTAGCAGCTCTACAGGAAAGTTCCAGGTAGCAACCTGGTGATGAGGCAGTCAGCTGGGGATGGATGACACTGGTAATTACTGCTGAAAACTTTGCTCTTGTTTTGAGCATCTCCTTAGTGCCCAAGGCATTGCCTAACACCTGGGGTCCACAGGGGATATGCAGCCTCACTGAGCTGACAGCCTCTGGGTTTCTTTGGAGCCAGACAGAGCCTCAGGAGAATTCCTGGGGAATGTTGTTATAGGGATGATAACGTGTATCTGTACATTCCAGAACATTGCCCACCAGAACATTGCTGTTGGGAAATGAAGCTCCAATGGTTTGTTCAAAATCAGACATTTCCCAAGATGTCATAGAGCTTATAGATATCCATTACATACGAGAACACATATTTTTAAAGACATTCTTTGATGTCTTAAATCAATAGCATGACCAGTGCCTCTGGCCAAGATCTTTTGAAGGATCCCAGCACCAGGAGGAAGTTGGCAAAGAAACCAGACAGTGACTCTGAATGAAATTTTATATATGGCACTCTTGATTCTGTTTTCTCTATTGTGTTGTTGCTTCATTTTTATGAGTCCTCTTTGGAAAAAATAGATACTATGTTTTCTAGTTTTGATAGGAAGCTGTGAGGTGGGCTTGGAGGTTAGGAAGAGTCACTGATAAGCACAGGTGGACCTGAGATACTTTTGGCAAGTGTAACATTTCTGTGACCAGGGATTTTGGAAACCTAAGTTTCAGGTCTGCATGCCACTTGATATTTCTTCTTTAGTCACTTTCCTGTTTGAACAGATGCCAATACGACCCATGAGCTAATCAGGTCTCTACTTGGGCTTGAGAGTCAGAGAGAAGTTCTCTTAGTACCAGACACCAGAGTTTAATGGTTGGTTGACGACTGAAGCCAGTTTAATTCCACGTGGTCAACTGACACATAGCAAAAACAGAAATACAAACCCCTAAACAACATACATTTCAGCTGAGTGTTGCGGTGCATGCCTACAATCCCAGCTACTCAGGAAGCTGAGGCAAGGGGATTGCAAATTCGAGGGCAGCCTCAGCAACTTAGTAAGATCTTATCTCCAAATAAAAAGGGCTGGGGGTGTAGTTCAATGGCAGAGTGCCCCTGGGTTCAATCCTCAGCACCACGCTCTCTCTCTCTCTCTCTCTCTCTCTTTCACACACACACACACACACACACACACACACACACAACCCACCTTTTCACCAAATGCAAACTCTTCTGCCCTAAACAGCATACTTTTTTAAAAAGAAGCACAAAAAAAGGTCGTGATGAATTCAATGGCCAAACTGGCTAGTCAGTTGGTCACTCCTCTGTTGGTTACTCCTCTTGTTAGATCCAAACTAAAACTTAGCACATTGAACTCAATAGCAGGAAGAAAGCTATTGCAAAGATATCCAACCCTTGGTGAAGGCCCCTCATCTGGAAAAATCTGTGATTCTGACGCCAACCCTGTCACTTCAATGCCTCACTTAGGGGGATATTGTCCTGGCACCTGTGAGTAGCTGAATATTAACAGGTATGTTCCACCCTGACAGTAAGTAAAACTTGAGCAAGAAGGACAAACCATAGTTTAAATACTGAGATTTCATCTCTAGTCAGAATGGAATTTTCAAGAATGCAAGTAACAATAGATATTGTCGAGGATATGGGGGGGCAGAGGGAGGCACACTGATACATAGCTGGTGGGACTGCAAATTGGTGCAACCACTATGAAAAGCAGTATGGAGATTCTTCAGAAAACTTGGAATGGAACCACCATTTGACCCAGCTATCCCACTCCTCAGTCTATACCCAAAGGACTTAAAATCAGCATACTACAGTGACACAGCCACATGGATGTTTATAGCAGCTCAATTCACAATAGCTAAACTATGGAACCAACCTAGGTGTCCTTCAATAGATGAATGGATAAAGAAAACGTGGTATGTATACACAATGGAATATTACTCATCCAAATAAGAGAAATGAAATTATGGAATTTGCTAGTAAATGGATGGAACAGGAGACTCTCACGCTAAGTGAAATAAGCCAATCCCAAGAAACCGAAGGCCAAATGTTTCCTCTGATATGCAGATGATAACACACAATAAGAGGCAGGGTTAGGGAAGAATAGAAGTTCATTGGATTGGACAAAGGGGGATTAAGGGGAGGAAGGGGAATGGAAATAGGAAAGATAGTAAAATGAATCAGACATAATTTTCCTATGTTCATATATGAATACATGACGAATGTAACTCCCACATCATGTACAATCACAAGAATGAGAAGTAATACTCTATATATGTATAATATGTCATATATAACTAAAAAGAACAAATTAAAAAAAAAACAACCTTACCTTTAAGGCACCGATGATCCCACCCACTAGCAAATATAAGGGAATGAGAGGCTGTATGGGGCAGTCCTCCAAAAACTTCATTCCTACCCAGGGAAAACAGAAAGGGATTGAGAGATGCATTCAAGAGCACCAATCCTGGTTATGAAGCTGAGCTTAACACCTACAAAGGCCAAAATGTTAGTTCCACAAAGCATAACTCCATTCCCTGCCCTGCTGGTGGGATCCTCTTGGCCTCATGGGCCACCCCATCTTCAGGATGCTCGGTGGGTTGACTCTGTAGATCCCACTCTCCTGGCAGAATGTATATCAGGAAGCAGAGAAGTTGCTCTTTTAAAAGCAGTGACGCTTCACTCAGGCCTGCAGATGCCCAATGGGTATCTAAAAGCAGGACGAAGATTGGCATCTCAGCCTTCATTCTGTATCTGTCTCCTTTATTATCTTCAACTTTGGGTCAGGGGTCTGCTCAGCTTGGCATGTAAGCCATATTAATCCCTTAAGGAGTGTTCATCTCATAACTAGTAATACAAGGTTTGTTAGCCCCAAATTTACCTAACTAATCTCATTTCCCTCTGAGACTGAGGCAGGATTTGCAGCACCCTGTTTCAGATCCATGGGGTGATGCCTACAAGGACTACCTTCCAGGAACAACTGGAGCAGGACATCAACCCATGATGAGACCCCTAAGCAGGAGCCATCATCTCATGGAAACTGAATTGCCTCCTTCCAGGATCCCAGGTCCTCTCGAGAGACAAGGACTTCTCCAGAGCCCCCTTGCAGAACAAGAACTGAGACAATGATCAATCAGACCACTGAATTACACACACCTCTTGCCCCTGCCCCAGTTCTTCCCCTATTTAAAGCTAAAGCTCCTGCCAGCACCCAGAAGGCAGGGCTGAGCGGCTGCGTGTCACTTTGCCTTCCCAGTGTGGCCCTATTGTTTGTAGTTCTTTTCCTGTTCTTCACCATCACCTTTTTTTGTTTGGTGTTTGGGGCAAGGAGGTGGATCAGGTTTGTTGGGATCCCTGGTGTCAGGCCTCTGGCCTACAATTCCAGGAACAAATGAATCATCAGACAAAGCAGGGACAGACGTCACTGCACCTTTTATCTGGGTACTAAGTGGTCATGAGTGTACCGTGCTTTTATGAAAAGCTGGTGTATGTATGACAGTTCATGCTTTCAAGGATTCTTTTCACAAAAGGACTTAAAGAATCCCTTTAAACACTCAGTTCCCTTGATATGCTTAAAATAAGATTCAATTTATGGGTCACATTCCCAAAATGCATCCACCGAGTAAAATGAGGCCTTTATTCTTCCACTGCTTCCAGGGGGTAGAGGAGCCAGCAGGAAGCCCCTCCACCTGTGCAAGGCTGTTGTCATGGTCATTTTGTCGTTACCACTGACCATTTTGCTCACTGGACCCCCAAGCTGGGAGACATGTGTTTCCTGAGGCATCTTTAGCAACTGGGTATGGAATACTGCTGACCCCCACAGCTCAGATCTCCACACTCTTCCTTCAGGATCATATTTCTTCCCAAAACAATGCTTTCTCTACTTTTCTTAGGTCTTTATCTTCTAAGCCTATTATTAAGCAATAATATGATGCATCTTTTTTAAATACAAGAAGGAAATGTCTTATTTCCCTCATTAACAAAACTAGTTCCAATGACCAGGCTGCAGAGGGGTTCAAGCACAAAACTCTTCTGTGTAGAGGCATGGATGGATATGTGCCTTCATATTGCCAAGGCCACTGTGGGCACACAGGGCTGTGTGACTAATTCTGACCAACTGGTTGTGGGACATTGGCATCATTTTAAAATTGATACATGATCCTTCTTTCGCCTCCTGCTTTAACCACCTGGAAAACAATGAGCTGAGAGGGCCTCTCTCTCAGGACTGAGGCAGTTGGTAAAGCTAGGGGTCATGTTTATTGCCTTGGGGAGTCTCCTGAGGCTCTGGGATGACCCCCTAATCCACAATGGAATTTTCACAGCAAGATATAAACCTTTACAGCTGGGCACAGTGGCACATGCCTCTAATCTCAGGAGCTCGGGAGGCTGAGGCAGGAGGACCGTGAGTTCAAAGCCAGCCTCAGCAAAATCTGGGCACTAAGCAACTCAGTAAGACCCTGTCTCTAAATAAAATACAAAATAGGGCTGGGGATGTGGCTCAGTGGTGGAGTGCCCCTGAGTTCAATCCCTGGTATCCACCCCTTCCTCCTCCAAAAAAAAAACCCAAGAAATAGACATTTACAGTGTTAAGCCACTGAGATTCAGGGTTAATTTGTTATCACAGCATAATTAAATTACTTGATTAATTTGTCAACAGAGTTCGAAGAAGGGAATTCTCATGTTGAACCGGTCTCCTGTTTAATACACATTTGATTTGACATTTTATTTCTCACAAATGCCTGGATATGGGAACTTAAGCAGAAGAAATTTTTTCTATGACTACATCATGTTTCATTGACATTATTGAAAATTTCTAAACGTACAGATATAAATATAAATTCAGGGCCCCAAACAGAGTAAAATCCTCCACACACATTGGTTGGATCATCAACCTATATGACGTGCCTTTCCAGTTTCTCTGATGTTTGTCTGAATCCATTATCAGATGGAAATGCTCTCCAAGTCTCAACACAACCTTTCCACACAAAGACATTCAAGTATCGGATGCCAAATTTGTTGGGTATGAACTGCCTTTACCATTCGGAAGCCAGCTGTGTAATGAACATTGAGTAATGACTTGTATATCTGCTCATTCCTAATGAATAAGAACAGCTGCTGCTCACAGGAGAGTCGATCCGTGCACAGATGGCTTGAAAAGATCCCAATCAAGTCAATCAACACAGTTTTCCTCTGTGTTCTTCACGTGTTGCTTAGGTTCTACCTGAACCCTAGATTTTCTTTCTGTCTGATCTGCAGTATCACAATGACACCTTTTGGCTTTTTCGAACTCTCCCCAAAGCAGTTCATACTATTGCTAGAGATAGCGATTCCCTACCCACACAACAATATTATGGTGTGTGTGTGTGTGTGTGTGTGTATATGAGTGTTGACAATTCTTATTGTGACATAATAGCCAAACAAAAAATTTTAACCACTTAAGCGTACAATTCAATGGCATTGATTTCAATCAGCATCTTGTGTGACCATGACCATCATCCATTTTCAAGAACTTTTCATCACTCCAAAGCAAGCTCTATAACTGCTACGCAGCAACTCCCCGAGACCTACTTTCTGCAACGGATGTAGTCGTTTTAACATAGTGACCATGTCAATGAACTCATGGAAGCTTGTCTCATCGTGCAGCTTGGTGAGTGAGTTGTTAGCTGGCGAATGAGTTGGTGAACAACTAGCCACAGCTCCACAGTCTCTCTTACACTACCGATTTTGCATAGAACACTGTCTAAAGGGCATTTCTGATCTCCCAAGCTGGGTGTGACTAACTTCTTATAAACTCTTCTTGAAAGAGCAGAACCATAAATGGAAGTTAATTTCCAAACTAACTCTAATAATGGTAGCTTCCAGATTTGGGCAAGTGGTTGAATTGTTTTCCTCTTATATTAAATGGCCCCAGAATGTTTTGCTCTTTTAGTTCTGGGCAACTTTGATATTTTATTTTATTTTCTCTCTCTGTTGTTGTTTAAGCTGTTTGTATTTTTTTGGTACCGGGGATTGAACTCAGGGCATTTAATCATTGAGACACATCCCCAGCCTTTTTTATAGTTTATTTAGAGACAGGGTCTCACTGAGTTGCTTAGGGCCTTTCTAAGTTTCTGAGGCTGGCTTTGAACTTGCAATCCTCCTGCCTCAGCCTCCCCAGCCTCTGGTATTACAGGTGTGTACCGCTGAGCCCAGCTCAGGCTATTTATCTTTCTATTTCTCTCTCTCTCTCTCTCTTTCAAAAAAAAAAAAAAAAACAACAACAACAACAACCAGGGTACTGTTTTTGTTTATTTCTATTTTCAGAGTTGTATTTTTTCAGTATAAAATTTACGGGACATAAAATCAACTATTTTAAAGGGAACCATCCAGTGGCATTTAGCATATTCTCAATGTTGTACAAACATCCCCTTTATCTAGTCCCAAATAGCTTCATCACCCTAGAATGAAACCTTGTACCCATTAAGCAGATAGGGTACTGGGTTTGTTGTTGTTGTTTTCAATAACTCCTGCACCCTTTTAACATTTCTGCCCCATATCCTTTGAGCTTGGAACCGAGAACACTGGCTTGCTAGGCCTCAGGGTAAATAGGGCATCGACCTTCTGCATGCAGATCTCAGGGGCTCCCATTAGCAATTTCAAGAGCATGAGATTAGTTCCACAGACATGTGCCAGTGACTTTTGGCTTCTCAAGGAATCCACTCCTACTCCCCTGCCACCTCCCTGTACTTCACACTTGCAGATTATAAAGTTGTTTAATCCGTGCAATTAGGGGAGCATTTATTATTCACTCATTCCGCAAGAAACATATTCAGTGAGCCCATACTTTCCTTGAGCCTTGGATGCATTTTTCTTATTGTTCACAATGGGCTTCCTCATGGGAACATAGGAACTGGGAAGGGGCCTCGGGCAAATTGAGCCTCGTGACTCCTAAACCTGGGCTAGGAAGATCAGAATCTTCTTCTGACAGTTTTAAAAGCAGGTGCCTGTCCCCACCCCAGACATACTTCATCAATATCTTCCAGGGCGGGGACCAGGAATGTTCACCAAGTCACTCTGTGACAGCAAGCAGATAATTGGGGACGACTGATCTTGCCAGCCCTGCCTAAGCACAGTTGATGCTTAAACATTAAGTGCTGTCACCCCGCTCCACCCCCGCTGACCTGCAGCTTCCCGCAGCTCAGCAGCCAGCTCACCTGTGAAGGCCATGGACAGCGGCAGGACCAGGAGAGCCATGAGCGCGAGAATGAAGCAGGCTGCAAGGAGAAGGAGCTGGGTTAAGACACGCCTTTTCATTTCCTTTTCACTGGGGTTTACTTTGCATCCTGGGAAACCCAGGCCTCTCTCAAGTCTTCAGTCGGCAGATAGGAGAAGGTCAGAGTTGGCCTGGGACTTGCCCAGGTGGGTGCCTTTCTGAGAGGGCCTAACACCTCCGCGGTCAGGCTGCCAACTCAAAGGCCCAGGCTTCCTCTGTGACCTCTCCAAGTCTGACAGCTTACGGAAAAGGGATTCGTCAACCGCTGCTCTGCTCACACAGGAGGCCAGAAGCCAGTGGGCTTCCCTGAGCCAGGCAGGAGTGACGCTGTGCTTCCTGTACCCAGGGAAGATGGTTCTTCTCTTTCCTGAGTAAAATTCACTTTATCACTTAGAGAATTTGCTTCATGAGATCTTCCCTCTCCATTTAGTGATACATATGGCTTGAAGATGGTTTGAACATGTCCCAAAAGGTTCATGTGCTGAAAGGTCGGTTTTCAGTGTGGTGATGTTAAGAGGTGGTACCGAGAGGGGGTGAGACCTTCAGGAGGTGGGGCCTAGGGGTAGGAAACTAGGTCACTGGGGGAACCGCCGTTGGAAAAGACTGTTTCCTTTTCCTCTCCTTTGTCATGTTGTGACGTAGTCAAAGGAGCATCACAGGAGGCTGAACAGATGTGGCCACTCAATCTTGGACTTTCAGACTCCAATGCTGTAAGCTAAATAAACCTTTTTCCTTTATAAAGTACCCAGCCTCAGATACTTTGTCATAACAACAGAAAATGGACTAATACAAGTAGTCTCCTGTCGCATCTCACGACTAAACACACAGGGTCACTCCAGGTGAACAGGGCTGTGTGAAATAACCAGAGATAGAGAAATACCTTTTTCTTTGCATCCTATGATGGCTCCTCTGACCTTAGGGGTCCATGGAAAGAAAGAGAGAGAGAGAGCATGTGCTGAACCCTTTTATTGGGTAGAAGCCATTCAAATGAGGTAAGGGGTCAGGTTTTGGGAGGGGGGGGGTTGAGTCTAGCTTCATGATGTCTACTATCAGGAGATTGATTGACATCGAGGAAGGCCACTCCCAAAGGCAGAACAAGAGATGGGGACACTCAAAGGGAGTTTCCGTGGAATTTCTATCCCAAACAGGGCAACGGGGTAGGATTACAAAAGAATAGGTGAGTTAGCTCAACCCCAGGGTATGCCTAATCAGAAGACTGGCCTTGCTATCCGGGCAGGGGAAAAGACTGAGTCACGAGTCATGGCACTACTGCCCAGAATACAGTGATCTTTCAGGTCCCTGTGGTGCATCAGGACTGGAAGTCATGGTAACTCAATGTGGCTCCCCACAGTCTCCTAAAACCTCTTCGTGACACAGTGTGACAGAGCTCTGAACTGACTTGGAGCTTTTTTTCCTGTTCATGACACCAATTCATCCTTTAGATACTGGGAAAGAGCAGAGGCATGGGGACTGAATAGGCCTGAGTCCAAATCCTGGCCCTGTCACTCATTACCAATGTGGCTCTGGGCAGATTTGTTGACCTCCTGAAGCCTCGTCTCCCTTTCTTGTCCAATGTGTTAGCAGAGGCACACACGGAGTTCAGTAGTGGCAACCATTACAATAAGGCCTTTACTATTCCTCTTTGGTTCCTGACCTGTGAAGTGGCCGGCAGATACAGGTTTTGCTGGGCCAGCATTATTTTAAATTATGAATCTGAACGTCTTTTGGGTAGAAATGCACCCAGTTCCCACTTCCAAAGTCTGGACAGCATCACACACTTACATTTTTACTGTGTCCTCTTGCCGGCCCTGAGAACTGAGGTAGGATTGCTAAGGTGGTAGGTGGTCTCTGCAGTGTCTATTTCTTCCCCTCAAGGTCATCACCCCAATTTTTTGCTCTGGTTTCCTCCTCCCCATTCTCCTGTGCTGTGTGTGACAGAAGCTCACTCCATCCTGGGTGTGGAAAGGGACATGACAGTTTAACTCTGAGTGGACCAGCACAGTCCCACTCACTGGATAGGGTATCATTTGATGGATGGGCTCATGACTCTTTGGGGGAGCTTTTACTGAGAACAAGGACAAAGCTTTCTCACTCTTCTGATAGAAAATTTCTCCCAGTTGCTCTGGGGATTGTTGGTACCCATTTTGCCACCCCGAGGGACAACCAGCCTAAGAATGAAGCTGACATCACGGGAGGCAAGAAGAGAAGCAAAAGGAAACTGGGTCCTTGATGACATTTGTCACACAGTGAGTGACACTAAACTACTTCTAGGATTTCCATTCACATGAACCAATAAGCCCCTTAACAGCGGCCCCTTTATTAGTTACGCCAGTCTGAGTTGGGTTTTAGTGACACTGAACTGGCTGCAATTGGTTTAACTTTATAAGGTCCATTCGGATTTGAATTATGAAAGATCTCAGATTTATTTGCTGATTTCAGTCATCTCTGAGATCCAAAGCTACACCTCACACATTCCCCAAATGACACGAGTCCTGACTACTCAGTCATCCAGAGCAGAAGGGACAGGACAGGGGCTGCCCCCTGAAGTCTCCCTCCATGCCAATCTTGACCTTCACCTCCAGGAAATGTAGAGGAGAGCAGGCTTGCAGCATGCTCTGCCTCCATTCCTCCAAACCATCTTTCTCTGAATTAGCTTTAATACTGACCATCTGTACAGTCCCACAGGCCGTGTGCTCAGGAAAACCTAGCATTTGTCGCCATCTTGGAATTCCAAATGACTTTATCTTTGAACTTGTGTTTTCTAAGTGATGTCTGATGGGACAGTGAAGCATGTGAGCAGATTATAAGCAATATTCTTGTCTGCCATCCCTTTGCCGCTGCCTTTATATATATATATATATATATATATATATATATATATATATATATATATATATATATATTGCTCTTGAATTCTGGTGCACCCATGATATGTGGGGGTTCAGCAAGTCTCAGAATGAATTCAAGGTAAGTGGATTGTGACTAGTAAGGAGAGGCCTGGCAACCCTGAGAAGCCACATCCCATTTGAAGCAGAACTGATTCAAATGCAGACCAGGCAAGGAGGTTTCAAAAAACATGAGCCATCAAGAACCCTTTTCTTCTTGCTGACCAATGAGTCTCCCCATACCCACCAGCCCCTCATCCTGCAGTTGACGCAAATGAAGCCATAGCTCCTTCCCCTTTGGGAGGTCTTCCCTCAGTAAGCCAAAGGTGGAGTGTCAGCAGAATGTGTGCATATCAAAAAGTGAAATGACCACAGTTAAAGTTAATTTTGTGTGGTGTGTCCACTGTTCTGGTGAAAACAGAAATGCACGTTAGGTCATGCTACGAAACACAAATTGTGTCATTTTGATGACTCCACATATGGGTTAAATGCTCTTATAGTTGCACTTAAAACTAGCATGTAAGGACAGGGGACGTAGCTCAGTGGTAGAATGCTTGCTGAGCATGCCTGGGTCCTGGGTTTGATTTCCAGCATTACAAAAAGCAAACAGAAAACTTACCCAATATTAAGATGAGTAGGAAAATCTATGTGAAAATTAAATGCTTGATTTTCCTCTACTTAAAAGGACATTAAATAGCAAATAAAAAGTACTATGACAGGTCAAAAGAAAAAAGTTTTATATTTTAGAAGCTTAAACAATGCTTCCCCTATCCCCCGCTTGTTCAAATGAGGTGTTCCCAATTTTCATTTTGCACTGGCCCCTGAAAATTATAAAGCAGGCCCTATTGGTCACGGATGACACAGCACAGCCCATTAAAGTGAGAATCTCACTAGTGACCTCTGTCTTAAATCTCAATTTAGAGTAGAGTCAAGAAATTTCTTGCTGCTAAACAATAGCAAATCAAGAGGTCAGTGAATCCCATTCTCTATTTCTGACTTTGCAGCTTGTTGCCAAGATGAAAAAGTGATTGACATCCTGGAAAACCCTCATTGAACTGCAAACTTGGGACAGATGGTGCCACCTGGGCGCATGTGTAATCCAGGTGCTCAGTGACACAGAGACACTGAGCACCTCCCAGGGGAGCCACCTGCCACTCCACCTTTCCCTCTGCTGGGTGGCAGAATACAAACTATGCCATTCTGGCATGAGGATTATTTTGAGCTAAAGTCACTGAAATAATTCTGGATGCCCTTCCCCCCTTTTTGTCCTGAAAGCTGAAGATAAAACCCCCCCATGAAAGATGTCCTCTCTATGCAAGAAGGAAGGTAACGTTATGGTCACCTAGGATGAGCAACTGAGACCAAGAGAATTCTGTACATACAAATCTTGTAAAAATAGTTCTTATCTTCTGTTACCTCCCCCACCCCATGTAATTTGGTTACTTTTCCACAATTGCCTTTCTTTGTTCAGCCTAGTATAAAAGCATTTTAAAGGGTTTGCTACTTCTTTTGGGTCTTCATTCCTTATTAAATAAGTTTGTATGCTTTTCTCCCTCATCCTGCAGTTGACGCAAAAGAACCCATAGCTCCTATTATTAGCTTTTCTCCTATTAATTTGCATTACCTTGTGGGAGACCAACCTTGCACGTGACTGAGTCACACTCCCGGCTGGGTGATGAGGCGCTCAGTCACAGAAATGTGGCAGAGCTTTCCCCACCCTTCTTGGGTTTGAGGGTCAGTGTCTCGTGCATGGGTGTGTCTTGCTACAACCATGAGTGGAGCTACGCTCACCTGTTCCTTTGTAATATAACCCCTTGCCCTGTTTAGGATAGAATCTTCCATGGAAGTGCCTTGTGTGTGTCCCCTTCTCTTACTGTGCCCTTGGGTGTGGCCTACCCAGGTGTCAGTCAACCTGCTGACAGTGGACATCATGAAGATAGACTCAGTCCCCTGAAACCTGACCCCTTGCCTCATTTGAATAGCTTCTCCTCAATAAAAGGGGTCAGCACGTGCTCTCTCTCTCTCTCTTTCTTCCTGCGAACCCTTAAGGTCAGAGGAGCCATCACAGCAACCCCAAAGAAAAAGGTATTTGTGTCTCTTGTGTGGTTATTTGGCG